ATACCTAGGAACGAAGGATGTGGGACAGAAGTAGTACTTCCAGCAACAGCAGCAGCAGCAGCCTTATTATTATAGTTATTCTTTGTAGTGCTCAGTGCACACCTCTTGTCGTCGTTTCCTTAGGTTTCCTGTAAGTGTATTTGGTCCCACGACTTGGACTACTTACAAGGAGCTTTCTACCAATTATCATGCATTCGGTGCCTATCTACGTTATATTGGTAACAAACCACAAATCCATACTAAAGACTTTGATAATGATCTCCTTGGTGAGTATTCAATTGTTATATTCGAGGACACATGTGATATGTGGATTACTGCTGCTCTTGGGGCATGGACTCAGGATATGCTCGTTACTACTGTTTATGGTACTCTTGGTCCCGATGCTGTAGTACAGGCTGTACAAGAAGGTCAGAGGACTACTCTACTTTGTAACAGGAAGAATGTACATAAGATTATTGCTCGACGTAGTGAAATGCCCTCTCTTAAATATATTATATACACCGATCTCAATGTGGATCCTAAAGAGGCCAAACAAGAAGTCTTCAGTGCCGAACAGGAGGAGAAGGGTATCAAAGTTATTCCATACGCTAAAGCATTGTCGATTGGTAAAGAATGTGTTGATAATAGTGATATAAAAGAAGAAGCTACTGCAGATTCAGTAGCAGTTATTATGTATACTAGTGGTACTACTGGTAAACCTAAAGGTGTTGTAATGCCTCATTCGAGTGTATTATTTACCATTGGTTCAGTAATACCAATATGTATTGCTGCTATGCCACCACACTTCTCACATGTTGCATATCTACCTTTATCACATATCTTTGAGCTTGCTATACATATTGGTGTACTATCTCTTGGAGGTAATATTGGTTATGCTGATCCACGAACATTATCTAATACTGGTGCTCGTCCTACTGGTGCTTTACAGGAATTCAAACCACATCTTATTATGGGTGTACCCAAAGTGTATGAGGTTATAATGAAGGGTGCGAAGGCAGAGGTTGCCAAGCTACCTGCTGCTAAACAACAACTTGTTAATGCTGCATTTGAATGGAAATTATCAGCACTCAATGCTGGTCGTTATACACCTATATTTGATAAACTCATATTTAAGAAGATAGAAGATATGATTGGTGGTAGAGTTAATGGTATACTATCCGGTGGAGGTCCTCTAGCTTCTCATATTCAAGATTGGATACGTACAGCATTTGGTTGTTATGTTGTACAAGGTTATGCTCTCACTGAGACATGTGCTGGAGCATCCTTCTCACTACTTGGTGATACTCGTGTATTCAATGTTGGACCACCTATACCTGGTGTTGAGATTATGTTAAGATCATGCTATGATGATGAGAAGGATGAGGCAGAGATCCTTGATAGTAATGGACAACCCTATCTTAGTAAAGATCGAGTAAATGCTGATGGTGAACCTTGTCTTGGTCGTGGTGAAGTTATGATACGTGGTCCTTCTGTGAGCTATGGTTACTTCCGTTTACCAGATAAGACTAAAGAATCCTTCCTACCTAATGGATGGTTTAAGACTGGTGATATTGGTGAATGGTTACCTGATGGAACTCTAAGGATTATTGATAGGATTAAGAACCTTGTGAAACTAAAAGGAGGAGAATACATTGCATTGGAGAATATGGAAATGGTATATTCAGATTCACCATACATAGATGCCTTAGCTGGTGGCCTTATGGTATATGGTGATGGTACGATGGATCGTCCAGTTGCCATAGTACAGGTTAGGGAAAAGGCTATTATCAAATGGGCTAAGGATAACAATATACAATATAAGGATGTTCAGGTTAGTAATTGTCGCTGCCAGGGATCGAACCTTCGACGATGTCCTTTGCTCTTCAGGATCTTATTAGGAAGAAGGAAGCTAATGAAGAGGTCCTGAGGTCTCTCCTTGAGTGTCATAAAGAAGGTCATCTAATGCCTATTGAGAAGCTTATAGCCATTGAGTTGATTATAGACCCTTGGACTTGTGATAATAAGTGTCTTACTGCTACTAATAAGATATCAAGAAAGGGTATTGCTAAGAGGGATAAAGAGTTGCTTGAAAAACTCAAGCCCCTTGGGCAAAAGTGATATTTATTCATTATTATGTTTACCACAATACCCTGAATGTTTCTCAACTCAGTTGTTGTCACTGTGTTAATGTTCCAACAAGAACATGCCAGTATATAGAAAGTTATCGTCATTGAGATATTAATATGATCTGAGCTTCCAGCCCATAAGGAAGAATATAATAGCTATAACAATTAAGTAGATTCCCACTGAAATGAACATCCATGATGATACCTTACTACTGCTCTCATTCGAAGCTACTCCTTGACATATGAAGAGTAAGCCAAGGAAGAGGTATAATACAGATTTCCCAAATAGATGACGGAGGAATTGTGCCTCTTCGAATATGGCGGCAGCTAGTGATCCTCTTGGCATAAACTCTACTAGAATGAGTATAATACCAATGACCAAGTACAGAACACACAGCATTGTCGTCAGGGCGGTTCGAACCTGCGCGGGTAGTAGATAGAGGTCATAAGGAATACCCCTTTATGATAGTAATTAAACTCATTGAGCAGTAAACTGTATATATGTTCGTAGCGAGGCTGCTGCAGCTGCAGCTGAGTACAGAGTATTCTCTCTCTAGTCTATGTTCCATGGAGTGCATTGCTACTGCGAACACCATTCAGATGTAAGGACTCTTCCCCTAAGAGGGTTCAACGATATAGGCTGCATCTCACCAGTATTTCCAATAACAACTATGATGTATGTAAAGAGATACTATTGAGTTGTTATTATCCCAACTGTTAGTTATTAGACTTACTTCCTCGGCGAATGAGAAATGCCCTAGAATAGATACCACTAGAACAGCGAGAGCTGCAAGGCACCCGAGTATTCGAGTGATGATGTTACCCTCGTATGATGCTCCTCGTTCATTAAGCTGAAAAGTAATAGTATAATAATGATGCCCATCTTATGTGATTTACCTTGAAGTTAAGAGAATTGTTGTTGCCTCCTGATGAATTATCACCACCGAATGCATTATCGGCTGTAAGGGAGCCGAATATGTTGGTCATAATAACGCTTCAGATAATAATAACTTATTACCAACCTGATAGGAGACCACCACGACGACGACCGGAGATGATCTACATTTCGCGCGCCACTATTAATTCCTCACTCGTGGCGCGAATATTCGTCACTGATAAACACCTCCTTGCCGGGATTGAACCCCAGCCTTTCGAGAGAGGACCTCGGGAAGTCACCAAATTATTGTCTAGGTCGTCGTCGTCGTCGTCGGGGTTGTGGTTCAATGAATTAAGAAGGAGGATAGCATAGAGTATATGATAATAGGGATCGGAAGTTGAGTATATGAGTTTAACTAGAGTTTACCGAACCTTGCTGCCAGTGTCGTTGTTATTACACTTCATGGACTACATATTGAATCGAGGAGTAGGAGGAGGAATAGGGGGAGGGTTTGGAAGTATGCTTCGACAGTCCATGTGTCGATGTCTACCATATGGTAATAATAACAATAATGAGCACTACCATTATGATGGTAATAGTAGGTTGGTCTACTGCTGTTATTGGTAATGAACCTGATGATGATGATCTAGATGAATTGGAGATACTCCATGAGACTTCTAATATAGTTGATAATGTTCGGATATTATCGTAATAATAATAATACCGTAAATGATACAGTACTTCTTATGCACTACTCCCCTTAGTTATAACATATTCATTCGTCCTCCGGCACCTCGATTCACCCACAATGTAGATGATGATTATAAAGATCAAAGATTGGAAGAGTTTATCAAGTTTTACTTACAACGTTATCATGTAGTTTGTTTACAGGTAAGGAGGAAGAGGAGGGCAAAGGTGATGAAATATCTTCCATATGTCTTCATAGGAGATGTTTGGTGCCTTCTCTGCTCGTCGTAAAAGGCTTATAGCACGAGCAAGGAGGATGGGCTTTAGATGGAAGGTTACATCACCCCAACGGAGATCCTCAGGTTTCCTAGTAGATGGTGGATGTAGTACTATGAGGAAAAAGAGGAGAAGGGGAGCAACGATTATGATGCTTTTGTAGGTATCATATTATCACGATTGCGTATTGTACGATCACGGGCTATAGTCTATCAACCCGGAGTGTTCTCAGATCAACTAGCAGCTAAAGGTATTAATAATAATACCATACCACTCCTTCGTGACATCACGATAATACCTCCTAGCATTTGGACGGTACATGGCAGTGCTCTCAGGTGCATTATATGCCCTATTAAACCCAGCTCCGGGAGTTTTCATTCATCTTTTCTCAACACACCTTCAAGCGAGTTATAGTGGTAGATAGTACATGATAATCATATACCATAACAGACTGAAGTTTATCCAGATAAAGCCGGGGAGGTAGCTGCTAAGATACGGCAGAGTCAGATCGATGAGTTGGTCGACTTTATAAAGAAATGCACAAGTGAAGAAAATATTAATGCAGTACCTTGTATGATGATGAACATTGAGGACATCCTATCCAAACCTCATACAAGGTCAGATTCATCATAAGGTCTATTGTAAGGCGTAATTATTCGATATTGATTTTAGTTCAGCGTTGAGTACCACAGACTCATATAATTCCCCTTCAGCTGCTGATATGAATAGGCCACCAACACAGGAGGTATGTACTGTTACTGCGAGTAATGATGACCATTAATATCAGGTTATAGGAAGACCAAGTGATGACCCATCCTATCATCAACAAGAAGAATGTGACTCTATTAATAGGTACTAGTGAAGTGGTATATCGATAGTGAAATGAGTTGTTGTTGTTGTAGGTGTTGTAATAATGAAGTTGGACCTTTATCACGCAAGCATCCCATAGTTTTAGTGGGTGATTTCAACTGTAATGCCCGAACTAATCCACATAATGGTGTAGATGATTCTGATGAGTAAGTATCGTCTTACAACAAGAAGGAGGAGTACTACTACTAGTACTACCGTAACAGGTTCAAATTAATAATCTCCAAGTTACGACAGATTGGTGTAACACATGATGTCCTGTTTGAGGAGCTCGGAGAGCATCCTGTTACCTACGCCTCAGCTGACTTTGATGTTACAACTCGATCATCAGCAGGAGCGTTGGAGTACACTGGTACTAAGAGTAGGAGAAGGAATCGAGGAATGTTGGTGCATCCTCTTAGGTGCATTCGTACCATCAGAAACAGCATTGACTGATCCTATTGATTGGACTGGACATGGGGAACAGACTAATCAATCACTTGATTATATATTCTATTTCCCCTCAGCCACCACCAACATCGTCGGTAAGTGAGGTAAAGTATTATTGGGAGTATATTATCATTGTATTGGCAGATAATAAGGCAACACCATCAGTGAGTGTGAAATCAGCTAAAGTGAATAGCTTTCATTTAACACAGCGTAGAGGAGAAAGGTTGTATGCCCTCTCTCAAGCAACTAATGATCCACTACAGGTGAGTAACCTCGTGTGATGCTGCTTCGTGTATTGTATTACATGACAACAACATTTCAACAATTGACTATATACGGGTATATATTATTCTCCAGGAGAGTAGTGCTCATTATTCATACATGCTCTTCATTAGGAGTTTGGATTCACCCAGTTATCGGATCATTATGGTGTAGAAGTGGAGCTCTCACTAACCCCAGAGGAAAGAGATAAAAGCATCAATCCATTGACACTTGTGGAGTAATGATAGGCATAGAGCTGATGTTGCCCTTTGTATACAATATCATGTAACATTATTGTCCGTCTCCATCCCTAGTATGTACGAACATTATCACTTGAGGAGGTCGACTCCTACTACTACTGGGATAGTGTCCCTTCCTCCTCCTCCTCTTACCACTACTACTACTATTGATGCTGCTATTAGGATCTTCCCTATCCTGTTGAGTTAGTCGAGTCAATGACTAGGATGTTAATATGATTGTACCTTAGCAACTTATTGCAGCTTATTGTATTATTTCATATATTGAGGTTGGCATTAATCGAGCTCTCAAGGTTGGTTACCACTTGGAACCTGACGATTTAATTCCCCCCTCTCAATAGTAAGGTCGTGACAACGGATATTGCCTTCTCGTATATAACATTTCTCCACATAATATCAAATTCTCCCGATATATCTATTTATGCCGATGGATATCCCCCTTTCCCAGGTGCAGTGCCTTTCAAACTTGTAACCGATCCTCCAAGGGTGCCGAATTAAATAGGAACATAACTATCTATAGCCGATGAGTTTAGTCCTATCACATCCTATCATCAATACGAGTTGTACATGAATGTGTATCCTTCTATACCGTCATCCTCAGTAGAGAACATGATGATGACTTCCGCCGCCTCACCCTTCCTGAAGTGAGACCAATAAGACTGATTATTCCATTAAGCTAAGTATAACAGAGTAGTATTGATAATGGAAACGTTGCTGGTGTATAAGGATGATATCGACTAACTGCCGCCCTATTCTTGACTGTTGCTATTGCTGATGTTGCAATAATCCACCAGCACGATGTAATGCATCATAGAGATGTGATGCCTCTTCTTGAGCATGGATTAATAGTTCTGGTAGTAACTATCATATGTTACGATGATGATACTGATGATAGTAGTAGTAGTATTACATGAGGGTCCATACCCATACAGGAAGCTTCCTCTCTCACTATCATATTCCATTTCCATATACTAACTATACATCCTTTCCTATCCACTCCTACTGCTAATACACCTATTACCACATAATATACCCTATTATCATTATCACCACTATTACCTCTACATGACTTCGCTTCAGCAGCACTTACATCTACCACCATCCTAGGACCATTAATACCGGATACTACACATATAGGCAAGGCCGATACCAATGGGGTTATATCATGTCCTAAGTTACCAATATGTAATTATAGACTATGTATTATTATTATTATTACCATTAGTATCCTCCTCCTCTAGATTGATTGAGGGTTTCTCTCCCTCCTCTAAAGGAGGTATTACACTTACTTTAGGTAACCATAACCTGATGATGATGATAATACTACATACTGATATCTAACTGAATATTACCCCTTAAATGCTGCTATTATGGCTAGTGATGATAACTCCACTATAGAAGGATGTATTACACCAGTAATGAGTATATCAATGGATATAGTCCTATAAGTATACTCCACACCATGCTCAATATTACTATTACCATGCAAAAGGGTTATCGATTATCAAGCATGTCTCATCTAAGCCTTTGAACATCAATACATCCAATGCTGTGTTCAATTGTTGCTCCTCCTCTGAATAGGATAATAGATCCAATACTACTAGTACTACCCATACTACTACTACTACTACTACCTCCTGGTTGCTCAGGGCATTCCACACCTATACGTACTAATCGGCATCGGTTAACAGCACCGGATGGTAATGTAGTGATATCAGTCTATGTAATTGATGATGAAGTATGTCATGAGTATTATTACTACTTTGATACCAACGATGATATGGGTATTATCACAATCCAATGTAGCACTAGCATTAGCTGCACTTATCGTATTAGTTGTTATTGATATTGGTCGTCTATCATGACAGTTCTGAGAGCAAGAATAGTTACATTATGTTATAGTAGGCCGCTGCTATCGCTACCGCCTACCCTCCCATCAGATCTAACACCAGCAGTAAGTCCATTAGATAAGAATACTCCTTCAGCTTCTGATGTTAATGTAGCAAGATTACCAACTGATTGAGCCATTATGGGATAATAATATCTATGATGATCATACTAGTGGTAATAATAATAACACAACTACTCCTCTTAGAGATGATGATACACTATTATTTTGATGTTGATGATGAAGTGTTAGGCCTTAATTGTGACATGAATGATGGTATGAATCTAGCACATAGTATATAAGATGTACCAGCCATAAGAGGCATATATAATATAGTTACTATCAATGATAACCAGAATAGATAGGGTGAAGTCTTCGAACATAATGTATCCAGTTCACATGCTATATCACTCTCATCAAATGGTGGACAAAACTGAAAGTAGTAGTAGTAAGCAATATATAATAGTATACATGATGATAGGAGTAGTAGTAGTTGTTGTCTTGTTGTGTTATTATTATTACTGATGTTGTCCTAGTCCATACTTTACATTCATCCCCAGGTAGACACTTATAAGCATCACGTTCCTCTTTGGTCTACATACAATAAGTATTACTACTAACTACTATTATCCACTTACTATAGGATCCATACACTTGATACATTGATAAACCCCTAGGAATGCTAGATTTTGCGATATCATAAGTGTACCCCAAGATAGCACCAAGAACTGTATAGTACTCATAGTAAAAAGTACTAATGTAATACAAGCCCATATAACATCAGAACCATAATTACTGCTACTTATGTATCTGAGAATAATACTAATGCTGCTACTAATATTCATCATCATAAAACTACAATATTATTACAAGAATACAAAGGATTGGAATAAGGCAAAGAAAGCCAATGTAGTTAGATAAGCAGATAATGGATCATCACAACTCTCCCCTCTCAATTGTGTAAATATGACACCAATCATAATGCATAAGAATGAGCCAAGATTCAAGGCGACAAGAGCACCTAAAATGATGATGATGATCAGGTAGTAGTAGTATTACTACTACCACTAAGACCTTTAGCTGGGTTCTCGAATAGTATTGATGGTCCACCACCTCTACGATGTTGATATTTGAATATTGATAACATCATAATATTATACTATGTATAACACACATTAACAACATCATTATGATGAACCTATGCGTCTATTGATAACATCGACCTAGACATCATGCATAACACACATTATTACGAACCAATAGCCTCCATCTTCCTAACAACATTCATACCCTCCTTAGTAACAACAACCTGGGGCCTATTTCACAAGCATCCTAATGTTAAGATTTTAACCCATTAGGATGCAATTTAAGGATAAATGGCGTTCACAAGGGCCCTTTACTTAGGTTGGATTAGGACTTTAGGACATTAGGATCCTTACCGTTAGGATTTAGGATATTAGGATGCCTTTATCCTCAAAAACAGGCTGTTAGGACGCTCGGCTTTCACAAGCTATATTTTTAAGGGAATTTTCATCCTAATGGTAAAGTACCTCGGGGGGTACTTTACCGACCATCCTAACGTTAAAGGTGTACAAGACGACTCGCTACGTTCCGCCAAACAGTCGTTGGTTCGAAACTCTGCGAGCACATTTTTAAATTAATTTGTAACTTGCACAAAAATCTTACAACTATTAACAAAACTCTTTACCAAGTTCGATACTTATCTGAAGCTTATAAGCTTCGTATGAAACTCCTTACAAATGCTACTCTTCGGTAGAGTCAAGCCTTTTTTACTGCAAGACCCCTCCATATCAGAAGACGTTAAGATCCATAAAGGTCCATTACTGGATCATTCATTACGCGTATCAGTTGATAATAAAAGAGGTTTTATCTGTTAAATCTGCTGAATGGCGCCTTGTGGCACTATCTTTGTCGGATTCTTATTTAGTTTATATCAAGTATAAAATGGTGGGGTGGTAGAGTTTGCGGCTGTTGTTCGATCGATCCAGGTTCAATTCTTAGCTGTATAATGTTTTACGTTGTGTTTAATTGCCGTTAGGAGTCCTAATA